GTGGGCATGAGCGATCAGTTTTCCTCCAATGTCTTTATTGACTACTTAAAAAGTCAAAATGAAGACATCGCTATTAATGATGTAAAAGTAGTGAACTTGTTTGTAAATCCACGCTTCACTTATAACAAGTTTAGTGTTGTAATTGAAGTCGATGTCGATACTTATAAATGTTTGTTATGTGCGAAAAAAGTAAATGTAGGGTTTGATCGGTGCTCGATAGTTCCCCCAATTAATGTGTTGAGATGCTTCAAATGTGGAGAATTTGGACACAAGAGCATCGATTGCAAAAATTGTGATAGGTGCTCTAGGTGCAGCCAACAACACAAAACGTCGGAGTGTACGTCAACTGTATTGAAATGTATTAATTGTTTGAAAACGAATAAAGAACGAAACATGAACTTGGACGTCAACCATGCCGCATTTAGCTCGGAATGTTTGTTCTATAAAAGACTTTTTGATCAGAAGAAAAGCAGCTTGCGTTTCAATAAATAGCAGCCAAGTTCCAGGAATGTGAATCAATTCGATTTTTTATACTTGAATATTGCGGGGTTGTCAACAAACTACGTAGCATTACGTCAGATTGTTGAGGAAAAACGTCCTCTTTTAGTTTTATTATCTGAAACTCATATTGTAGAAACTGAAGCTTTCGATCAGTATAGTATTCCGGGATATATTGTTGCTGCTTGTTTATCACATTCTAGACACACTGGCGGTGTTGCTATTTATGTCAAAGAATCAGTTCAATTCAACCTTCGTACCAACGAAGTTATTGATGGCAACTGGTTCTTGGGCATTACAGTTGTACGTGGCATGAAGGTGGGTAATTATGGTGTTTGTATTATTCTCCCAGTTCTAGTGACCAGCGTTTTGTTGAAGTTTTAGAGAACTGGCTCGAGACATTCCTTGATTCTAGTAAATTAAATATGTTGGCTGGTGATTTTAATATTAATTGGCGTGATAACCATAATTCGAATCATTTGAAGCGTTTAGCTGAGTTTTTTAATTTAAAGCAAACGGTAAATGAGTATACGCGTATTTCCAGGCACAGTAGAACTTTAATTGACCACGTTTATTCCAATTTTGATTCCATTTGTTCAGTTACGGATACTGATTTGAAAATAACCGATCATGAGACTTTAGTGATTAATGTCTTAGACCATGTTAAGCTGATTCAAAGCTTGTTGAGAGAAGCCTTAATTTTCCATTCGCGGACGGTAACTTAGATGAATCTACAGCTGTTCTTAATAACGCTTTGAAAACGTGTATCAATCAACTAGTTGAGCAAAAGTTTGTTTCTTTGAAAAACTCGAACAGCTGGTACAATTTGGATCTTTTGCGTCTTAAACGGAAAAGGGACAAATGGTACAAAAAGTTTAGAAGATCTAATAATGACAATCATTGGACTAGGTACACAATCGCGCGTAATAAGTATTCACAATCGATAAAGAAAACTCGTTGTGAATATGTTCAAAGGAAGATTGATCAGCATCAAAACAACAGCAAAGAGTTATGGAAAATTTTGAAATCTTTATTAAAACCTAGTAATTGCAAACCGCGGTCCATAACTTTTAATGGCACATTAGAACAGTCAGAACAAGTAATTGCAGCTAAGTTTAATGATTCTTTTGTAGACAGTGTTTCATTGATTAATCAATCCATTGAATTGGTCGATGAACCTGACGAAATAAAACAGCCAGTTAATAGTAGTTGTAGATTTGAAGTTTTTCACCCAATTACATTAGATGAACTTAGAGTTATTTGTTTTTCATTAGGAAAATCGGCTGGAGTAGATAATGTTAATGCTAGAGTTATTCAAGATTGCTTTCATGTCATTGGCCACATCTTGCTGGACCTTATTAATGAATCATTACAAACTGGACATGTGCCACAAATTTGGAAGGAATCCTTTGTGATCCCTATTCAAAAAGTTGCTGGAACGATTAAAGCCGAAGAGTTTCGTCCCATCAACATGTTGCACACATTAGAGAAAATTTTAGAGCTTGTTGTTAAAGGCCAGCTCTTGGAGTATTTAAATAGTAATAGTTTATTGATACCAGAACAATCGGGATATCGGGAAGGTCATTCTTGTGAAACCGCGTTGAATTTGGTATAAGCGAAGTGGAAACATAACTTGGAGTGTAAAGATACGATTGTTGCTGTTTTTTTTTTGGATCTTAAATGCGCTTTTGAAACAATTTCTAGGCCCTTATTGTTAAGATCAATCAAGCGCTTTGGAATTACGAGAATTACTGCATATAAATGGTTTGAAAGCTATTTGTCTGACAGAACTCAACGGACTGTTTTTAATGATTCTGTTTCCAGTCCCGTGGGGAATAACCTTGGAGTGCCCCAGGGAAGTGTATTAGGGCCCCTGTTATTTATTATGTATATTAATGACTTGCGACGTGTTTTACGGTTTTGCGACATTAATATTTTTGCAGATGATACTGTGTTATTCGTTGCAGCTAAGGATTTAGATGATGCCGTTTTACACTTGAATAAAGATTTGCGTTCTCTAAGTAGATGGTTGAAGTATAAGCAGTTGAAATTGAATACAAGTAAAACTAAATTTATGGTAATTTCGCGGAATCGAGTAAATGAGAACGTCTCTGTTGTAATTGATGATGAGACTATTGATCGCGTTCGGGAGATTAAATATCTTGGCGTGATTATTGATGACACGCTTAAGTTCAACTCTCACATTGACAATGTCATCAAGAAAATTGCCAAGAAGTATGGAATTGTCGACTGAAAAACGATTTAACTATTGCCAGTAAAATACAGCTATACAAATCAATCATCTCTCCTCATCTTGGTTTCTTTGGGACAGACTTCTTGGTTCCTTTTGCCACCTTCAGCATATTTGTGCACTTCGAGCACGACTACGGAACCTCCTTTACAGCTGTTGTCTTACCAGCACAACTATAATGGGTCCAGAAATCGCAGACATCAGACATCATCTACGTGGTCATGGCCTTCACAAAGCGTACAATTTCGATCACTGTTCTGTTCTTCACTCAACGGTGGTGTTGATCCCTCTGACATTTTGAGGTTATATCCGATGTTGTTCTTCAAGAATGTTCGGATTAATGAAAGCAACTTCCCCAGAGCAGTCTGGTTTTGGACAGCTTGAAGCTGAAAGAGGTTTTATTATAAGCATTAAGATTGGTTTTGATTTTATATTAGTTTAATAAAACCTATTTCAGCTTCAAGCTGTCCACAACGAGACTGCTCTGAGGAAGTTGCTTTCATTAATCCGAACATGGCTATATTTTTAAGTGCTTAAACTTGATTTTCTATGGATCACTTTCTTTAGTTTAAGGTTCACTGTTGAATGTGTTATGGATCAATTGCAATATGTTTATGTTTAATTCGTACAATTTCAATGCTCATTCTTTAGAAATTAAGCGGTACATTTTTACAATTGTGTTGCTAAGCTTTACATAAAATATGGATCATATTGATATTTTTTATGGATCATTCACACTTTTTTGAGGATTTTCTCCGATGTTTTATGGATCATTTGGATGTTTTTTATGGAACGTTTTCCAATATTTTATGGATCATTTATTGGTTTTTATATTCAAAAGTATGTTTGCCATAAGCTAATATGCGATATGCAATAATCTTGAAATGCGAAGAAGAAGAAGGAGAAGAAGAAGAAGAAGAAGAAGAAGAAGAAGAAGATTCAACTACTCATCAACTCTTAAGAGTTACCAATTTAATTCGTTCAAACAAATCTGAAGGCTGCTCAACTTGACATGAAGGATTGATTGCCAAATTGATAAAGTTTAATTTTCCACTTTATATTATGTAATTAGTTCCAACATGTTTAACTGACAAAATTCCAAATCTGAACGGCTATTGTTAGAGCTGGAGTTACTCAGGGTAGCATTCTTGAGCCAATATTGTATAGCATTTGCACTTCGGACCTTCCTGATTTGCCTCAGCTATGGCACAAATCTTTGTAAGCCGATGACACAGGCATTTCCGCTATAGGAAGAAGTATTCGGGTTATTTGCAGCAGATATTTAGTTTTTAATTTAGTTTAGATATTTTTTCTTCTTATTTACAAAAATGGAAGATTTCTCCCCACGCTTCTAAATTTTAACTTATAATATTCTCACAAAGCAGAAACAATGTAAACACACTTAGATATATATTATAACAATTAAGCCTGATAAGTTTTTATAGTAGCTGGAGCACCTTGCTTAAAAAGAAATGTTATTTAATTTGAATTTAGAACAATCAGTCGTTTGTAATCACCTCCATTAAAGTTCTAATAGACATATTTCAACGTGATTGTTTGCAAAAAATGTGCTCTCTCATCTTAAGCAGTTAATTTATCTATTTCACTACTTACACACACCTCTGCCTTGATATCAGCTGATTGGCAGTCAGTCGGTGTCTCCAACAATCTTTGACCGGAGCATCCAGTAGTGTGTCGTCCAAGTGGAAAGCATCCAAGAATAACTGCCATTGGTCGAACGGTGTTCCTTTGGCACAAACTCCGAGGCGAGTCACAGTGTGTAAACAAGGAGAGCAGCTCACATTGCGAACAAGAAACGTGGATGATTGCTGCTCTCACAATCAACGCGAGAGAGCAGAGCACACGAGAACCATCATCAAATCGAACTTCCCCTCGACAAAAAATTCAGGGGAAGCTGCCCCACCACACTGGGGATCCGATCCCCACCAGCATCTCCGGTCGTGTGCCTTAGGTACATTCCCGTGGTGGGTGGTGGGTGGATTTGCGTGTAGGGGAAATCCAGCAGCTGACTATTCAGCCAGCTTGGCGCCAAGGGAAAGAAGCCTTTCCTTTCCCGCTGAATAACCGCCACCGCCGACCGAGGTAGTCTTTTGTGCTGCGGGTTCGATGTTATCGCAAAAGAAATTATGTTTTCAGTTCAGTTTTTATTAAGATTCGTCCGGCGTCAGTTCGGTTGTTCTCGTTCCGGGACGGTTCAGCGTTGGTCCGCCGGTTTGGTACCCGTGTGCACATGTAGGTGAAAGATAGTGCGTCCATGGGTGAGGTTCGGTGTGGTAGTTTAGCTGGAAGTTTCATGTGGCCGTTGTTGATTTGGTTCAGGTTCGAAAGTTTTGCATTGATCAATGGGAAAGTGTTGTCCGTTATGCATCGACCTTGGGCGGGCCGTGGAGTGTGATGGTTGGATAATACAGCAACAAAGTGTCTCACGATGAATACGTGCTTCTAGGTGTAAGGCAGTACGCGCCAAACAATAACAACCACTCCTTACGAAGAGGATATGTCACATGGTTACACTGGTCGACACTGGTTTAGTGAATGCTCTGCGTATATACGACTGTTCGGTGGTGACTTTGTGAAATCAGAAGGAAACGGATTATGCATTTCTACATCGCAGGAAACACGGAACGATGGTTCAGAAAAAAATCCCAGAAAAATGATCAGGAGTCACACAGGCTAAAATAAAATGTATGACAAGATCTAAATTATGAAGGTTTTGTCACAACGCTTATTATCGTTTATCGTTTTAACACGTTCCATGGGATACTTAATTTTTTTTATCAATATTTTCATGTTTAAATTATGTTCCCGTCGATTTTTTATGGTTTTAATTTTGATTGAGACATAATAATCAATTATTATCAATAAACTAAACCTAAACATGCACAAAACATTGTTTATAAATAATGGATTTATAGAATGCTTCTATTTCAGTTAATCAAAGATAATTCTAAAGCTATATTCTTTGCTTCGATTCTGCATCAATCTGTGAAATAATGTCAGGCAACACTGCCGTGATACTAAAAATGCGTGTAATGCATTTTTTCATAAACCGTCCTGCATTTAAAATTATCTTCGATAAGCATGGGTAGCATTAGTTTTCCAATTAGTGGCCTATTAAAATGACGGTAATAGTATTAGTTATTGTCTTAATATTCAAACAAGAAAGAAGATACAAGTGTCCAGCAAAGTTACGCTTGTTGCCTAGGTCAAGGTGAACATTTTTGTTCAGTTTTCACTGAATAGCCTACGTTAGTGCACAGAGATGGTTTATTTAAATGTAAGAAGTAATAACTTTTTTACGGACATCGTTTTCATTCAGAATTGACATGGTAGCACATGTGAACCAACAAATAATTCTTATTAACTTGTTATTTTGGTCATGCAGAACTATCCAATCGTGAGCAGAGTTGTATATAAGAGTAATACTTCAATGCAGAATATATTGATTGAGTTAAAATGACTCACTGATTTTAGTAAGCCAATTGTTCTGTCACATATTCAATCATACTGACCATAATGAAAGTTCCCGTCTCACTATGTGGCGCAAGTGATCATACATATAATATATATAAGGGAAATGGCTCTAATATTGGCCTATGGATCAAACATTGGGCCCAATCGTTAAAAAACTGCTATTTATCAATTTTATATAGATGAACGCGTCATTGGGACGGTACTAATGGATATTTAGTCGATTGCTTAATGTACATTGTAGGGGAGCAATTCCCTACGAATTCGCAAATCGGGTTATTTTTGTATATTTTTATTAGGTTGAAATTTTGCAGAAACGTTCCTTATGACCGACAATGCTATTTTGCATTTTCATATCACCATTTTGAATCCAGCCTTATTTTTGAAAAGGGCTTATAGAAAAATATCAAGCTTATCTTCAGAAAAGTTTTACTCGAAAACTGTTTGCCCGATTGGTTTGATGTCTTGGGAAATATTGCGGATAATGGATGATACTATTCGAAAAAAATATGCACTCTAAAAAAATTATCCTATTTTTTTTTAATTTCAAATAAAATCTTAATCACAATTATTCTCAAAAACTGATTTTTGGTATTTTTTTTATATGTTTTAGGGGACAAAAAATGCAATCTTTCGCACTATAGGGCAAGATGGAGAAATGATGGACAAAAAAGTTATAATTTTGTAAAAAAAACTCAAGTTTTTGGAAAAATATCCAAAACTTGGTCCAATTACTCTTTATATAATGAAAGTACACTAAATTTACAACTAAAAAGCACTTGCGTAAAATTTTGCTATGTCACACCGTTTTCGAGATGTAGCGGTTTGAAATAAGATGTTTTATAAAATGTAAAATTTGCATTTTTATTGTAAAATTTGCTGATCTTTCGGAAAAAAAATATTTTCGGAACTGGAGAACCGCAAAATACATTTCAAAATGGCCAAAAACTACCAACACTTTCATTATATAAAGCTAAAAAAGTAATTGGACCAAATTTTTAATATTTTTCCAAAAACTTGAGTTTAAAAAAAAAAAATCTTTTTTTTCCAGCATTTCTCCATATTTACCTACAGTGCAATAATGGCATTTATCGACAAATTAAAAATAAATGGCACATATCGACAAATTAAAAAAAAAATACAGAAAATCCTTTTTAAGCTAAATTGTTTTTAAGATTCCCTTTGGAATTTTATAAAAAAGTTGGGAAATTTTTTTAGAGTGCATTTTTTTTCAAATATTGTTATCCATTATCTGCAATATTGCGCAAGACACCAAACCAATCGGGCAAACAGTTTTCGAGTAAAAATTTTCTGAAGATAAGCTGCACTATATGCACTTTTCAAAAATAAGGCTGGATTCAAAATGGTGATATGAAAATGCAATATAGCATTGTCGGTCATAAGGAACGTTTCTGCAAAATTGCAACCTTATAAAAAAAAAAAAAACAAAAATAAACCGATTTGCGAATTCGTAGGGAATTACCCAGGGGCATTTAGGCCGACATTACATCCATGTCCCCTATCTATCCTGACAACATAAAAAAATCCCTAATTTCGTCAAATGTGTTCTGCTTAGTAAGACCTCACCGTAAAAGCAATTTAATTTTGGCCCACTAGGTTTCTCAAATAAACCAAATAGATACTGTTTTTTACCATATCTAATGATTCCTTCATCGACAAATTTAATCACTTTAATGAGCCTGCTTCGATGGTGGAAACTTTAGTTCATGAATGGCTCACTAGGTGGCATTGGTTCAGAAACATAAATCTTTGATGAGCAAGGAAATGGCTTTAACATAATATATCATGATGCTAACCATGTATAACAACTTCGACTTTAGCAAAACTGTACAGTTCTGGTGATGGTGATGGTAGATAGATTCGAGTATTTCCACGCTTTTTTTCGGTTGAACATCCCATTTTAAGTTTTATGAAATACTACAAAGCAACTATAAAATAACATTAATAAAACCCTGGTCAAGTCTATTTTGTCATTAATGCATCCACCAAAACCTCATTAAGACTAGAATATGTCTAGTTGGCCCACCCTGGAGAAGTTTCTGAAGGGTGTATTCTCGAAGCTCTTCAAGATTGATTTACTGCAAAAGGTTGTATGACGAACGCATTGAGAACCATTTGAAAGCTACAATAAAAGCTATTTAGCAACAATAGAAACCCTTTCCGAGCCATGTCCCCTAACCGCATGCTAAATCCACTAGGAAAGCATTAATCAAGATATAAAAGGATTTAAATAATTAAAATAGAAACTGATGGTATAAAAATCTTGTTGAATATCCAAATTGATTTTGGATATTAAATTTTATGTGAAATGTACGTTAAAACATCGAAAAAAAATAAGTCCACCCTCGTAAAACGTCGATTTGACTAATTATTTGACATTGAAAAAAAAAATTACTCTTCAGATCAAGCTTGGCCGAGATTTTTTTTTATTATTTTCACATTTAAATGTTTGTTCATTGCTAAATTTACCAAAACATAGTTATATCTAAGGAAATATAGATTGAAAATCGAAGATTGTAAAAAACAAGCAAACTAATTGTAACATGGCGGTGTCATAAAAGTTGATTTTCATGGGTCATATGTGAAAAAGTTGTTTTGCTTTCAAGAATTCCTTAACAAATTCATAAGGTTTTAAAATGGCTTATATGAAGAAAACTTGCAGGCTGGATTGTATTTATCTAAAGCCATTTTGCTTGATCCTAACCCGTTCAGATTTATGGCAGCATTTATGGAGGCAAAGTTGCCTGCAAAAAGTTAAACGTCAAAGTTTGTTTATCTTTCGATAGTTGCGCTGTGGGATGCAGGGTTCTTCCAGGTGGTTTTCTCCCGATACACTGAAAATGTATTTTCGTTATTTCTCTGAAAACCGTTTCGTAAAATGAATATCGTACACACAACACATCTTTCATAAATGGTACGAAACATTCGTTTTTCCTGCCATCTGGCGCAATGTCAATATTACGCCTTATTCGTATAATATACAAATACATCTTCGTACAATCAAACCAACAACTGCGCTTATTGTCGCCTAAAGTGCTTATTGTGTGTTGGAGATGGGATATTTTATTTTTTAGAAATATTGTCGGTTTGACCAATACATGCAAGCTACCACAATAAATCATCGCGGTGGTTTTATGTTAGAGAAAAAAATACATGCAAGCAACAGAAAAAGCAAGAGAAATCGAAGTACCGCTCCATGAGTGCTTCTTATTTGTCTTTAGTTTTACCTCTTCTTATAGCACAGATAGAGTAATGGATATAGCACAGATCTAACGATCGCAAGGTTCATGAGTCGTGTCCGGTCTGAAGCCTAATTTTATTTTTTTGTCATTTATTCCTTCCAATGATGAAGTTATTTTTACCCATCCTCACTAACACACTCCACATTTTTCGGTTTCCACAACCAACACTTGTGGACTGCTGGTTGGGTGTAGCGATAGCGAGTGTGGCAGTTCTAACGAAACTAGCTTCATACAATGTACAAATCCATTTCGTTGCAGAAAACAACGAATAAATTCGTAGAACAAACGAGCGATTTCGTTGTATAAACGAAATTTTATTTTCAGTGTAGATTGGGAGCAGTTACTCAGATAGTTTGCGATACTGTTTTACAACATTTCGCATTTCGAACAGCTGGAAGTGGATGGTTACTTAAGTGCACCATCCAACGATGCAGGGATGTAAGCTTGGTGAATTTTTCGAAGAGTTGATTCTTTCGCCGAATAAAATCGCTGCTATGGATCGGAAACCAGCTAATCTCCGCTAACTAACACTTTCAGTGGTTTGCTGTCGGTTGTCATCTATTCGCAAGATCTGGAGAAGACTGG